GTGTGTGTGTGTGTGTGTGTGTGTGTGTGTGTGTGTGTGTGTGTGTGGATTAGGTTAGCTGGCCTCGCAGTAAGTGTGAGGTTAACCTGTCAGAGCAGCCTCCCCTTCTCTCTTAGCGGAACAGAACCTCCCACCATCGCCTTACGTTTTTATCTCCTAGATCTATAGTTTTGACCTCTCGCTCGCTCATTTAATCAGCCTCCCTCCTCCTTGGCTTCTCCTCTCTTTGGCCTTTCCCTGCTTGTAAAAACAGGAAAGATATATCATCCCCTCCAATCGGCCTTCTGTCACACACTTTCTTTTCCTGCATCCTTTCTTTACCCCTCCTGTGTTCTAATTTTGTTAATTTGTAGTCCTGCTCGGCTCTTAAGTCGTGCCAAAGCAATTACGGGGGAACAGGATGAGAATGTGTCATTAATTTTGTGTGTTAACTGAATCTCTATGTGCCTCTCCGTGAATAATGAATGAATAACGCATGAGGGTTGAGCTAAATCAGGTGTTTGGATAGTTACAGGACAACCTCTTTTATCTCTTCATCTGTCTTTCTATTACCCTCTCTTGTCTCCCTCCTCTAGGTGCACAGTAACAACCGCCACACTCAGGGTGTGAGAGTCTTCAGCAAGGTAAAGTGTCTTTTCAAGCCTGGCATCCTCCAGCCCTGGTCCCCTGAACTCACTCTGCTGGTGCCCCTTGAGGATCTCAAAGACCCCTCCTCACGACCCATCTCCCTCCCACTGGGCGGCCGGCCGGCTCAGATCCTCCTCTGCAAATTCTACTTCGCTGACCGCTGGCTCCTCATCAGCGAGATATCCTTCCTCTCTGGTAGGAAACCAGTTTCTGTGTTTCTGTGGCTCTGACAGGCTGTTTTCTTTTGTCTATAATGGCTTTGCTTTTTTTTTTGCCACACATATTCTATCAACTATGTCCAGCACTGTGTTGGAGGTCCAGCAGAGATTGTACTTTGCCCGAACAATAGCTAAATATAGACGGCCGCAACAGGAAAGGAGACAACTGAAAAGGCTTGTTACAATGGGTGTAAGTCCAGTCGGCATTCTTGAAATGCTCAAAGTAAAAGTCAAGTGAGACTCAACGTGAGCGAGATTTGTTTCTGTGACAGAACCACACGTTTTTGTCCTCGCTGTCTTCTTTTAATTGATTTAAGGTATCAGAAAAAAATACTGCTGATGTCCTTTACAAAAAACATTTCAAAGGGTATCCGTTATTCTTTATACCCTCCTGAATTTAAAAAACTCGTTTCCTTCCGTCTGTTATCTTCACTATCGTCCTGCTGACGGACTGGAACAGACCCACGCAGCAAACACAAAGGGGGGTTTTTGATATCTTCTGTAAAGACAGGATTTAGGCGTATCTGATTGGAAGTCAGATAGAGGACTCCTCTGCTGCTTTCCAGCTGAGATTGCTGTGACTAATCGGTCAGTTTGAGCGCGATAAGAATCAGCAAAGTGCTCCGTAATCACACCGTACTCAGGTAGCTAAAATTAATTGACCCAGCAGTGATCTGGCATGTCGGCTTCTGCCACTAAACCTCGCAGCCTAATCTTCTTATATGGGACAGCTGATGTTGTTGTTGCCATGGTTGGTTGGCCAGTAAATTTAGGGTCGCCACGGTAACAGTTCGTCAACACAAAATCCTTCAGATTAGTCACGTCATATAAAACATGATTCATTTTCATTAAATGGTCCCCCCACGCTCTTCCTCTCTTTCTCTTTACCCAGAGCCATTCGAGGAGGATGCAACAGAGAAGGATTCATTTCCTAATCTTCCTAAGATTCCTACCACCACTTCCTCTCCTCCGCCTGTCAACCTCACTTCCTCCTCTCCTACGTCCAGCCACAGCTCCTCCAACATCACTGCCGGCCCATCCGGTGAGTCCTGCTGTTCCTCCTATTCGTCTTTTATCCCCCCTGCTCTCCACCTCCACATCTCCTTGTTTACTATCTTCCTTTCCACCAACCGTTCTTTCTCAGTGGTCCCCTTTTGTCACCCACCATCCTGCTTCACCTATAATTTCTGCTCTCTCCTGCCTCTCTAATTCCCCTGATCTCTCCCTCTTCACCTCTAGCCTCTGTGCCCGTCTCTTTCTCTGCAGTTATGATGTGTGAGCAGTGTGTCTAAGCCATGTGTCTAAAGCAGAGACAAAAGGCAGGCAGTGCCAAAAGAGGCCCATGTCTGGCGAGCCGCCCTCTTTATCACAAGCTCTGAAACGCCGGATGCTTGTCTTATAGATTTCATTATACTTAAAGGGCAGGAGAAATCTGGTTTAATATTAAAGGTCAAATGTTTCTATTTAAAATTCTTGAGATTTTAATCATTTCAGTCTGGCTTTTAAAAAGTCGGTGTGAACTTTTAGTGATTTTGATTTACATGGATGAAAAGCCAAAAAAGCCTTCCTCTCCTCATCACCCTCTTCTGAGTCTTCACCATCTCTCTTCTCACACATTCCTCCTTTGTCCATCCCTCGCTCCTCCAGAACCCCCCACCAACACCTCCTTCATGATGGACATCACTGGTAACTGGACGCTGTCAGGTGAGAGAGCAAAAAAACAATGAAATGGACAGAGCAGATGAACCGAGGGACGGTTCAGCTAACTCTATCCGCTCTGGCCCTCCTCCAGCATCTTAAAACTGTCCCACTGCTCGGTGGAGTGTATAACGGAGGAGGGGTTGCAGGGACAGGCTTTGGCACTGGACTCTGTCCCCTGAGTTTGAAGATATACAGCTGTAGGAAAAACACTAACACAGCTAAAGTACATCATATTTATGTACAATAACAACTTGGCTTCCTGCGGTCTCTGCAAAACTGCATGTTTTTATTTTTTTTCGGGAAACTGCCGCTGTTCTACACAGCTAAACAATAACAGGCTTTTTAAAGAAAACTGGAAATGGTTTTCTGTGGCGTGTATGCTGCTTTGTCCTCATTACTGGCTCTGGTTGAACGGCTTTGTTTGGGTTTATTTATTACCCGCATGGTGTTAAACAGACTGGGAGAGAGAAAGCGGTTGTTTTCTATTATGACAACGTGGTGGCTTGTATGAGTGTGTGCTTGCAGGTGTGTATTTGTGTATGAACATGAAAGCATTATTTTTGTGTGCCAGTTTTTTGGTCTTTTTTTAAGCTGTCCATGTAGTGTTTTTTTTTCTGACCGCCAGGGTCTTTTTAGAATGATTTCCCCAACGAGCGGAGGGCATATGCGACCGCATATTTCCGCCTAGAGAAAAAAACGCTACGCCAAGCGTCTGTTTTCAGAGTGCAACCCAATTGCACTTGTAGTTGAAAATTTCTGAACTTTTCAGAAAGCCACTGTGGATGAAGCCCCCCCCCCGCCCTGCCCTCCACCCTGCCAGCACTTTTTCTGCTAGAAAAAAAGCGTGACATGGACGCTCAGCCTTAGCTGAGCAATCCATTACAAACTGTCACTTATTCTGTTAAAGTTGTTTTAAGAGTTCAGTTCCATCCTTCATTCAAATAGCATGCCACATTTGACCTTCAAGGGAGAGAAAAAATCACTGGATCATTGTGATTAATATTTAACTCCGAAGCTGAAGCAGAGCAGAGTTCACATTCTGTTCTCAAAGCAGGGGGCGATGAGAAGCTCTGCAGGCTTATTGGATGCATGCAAACACAGACAATCCCCATCAGATGTTTCATAAACCTGATGAAACCACGTTGGTGTGCGTGACTGCACTGAAAGAGCTCATGCTCAGAGGCTGAACTGTGCATTAACTCATGCCAGCATGTTAACACACAGTGAAATAGATGCTGCTGCATAGTGATCTACACACATCCCATCAGACCTACGAATAACACCAGGCTGCAGTCAATCAAGCTCGTACACATACAAAAACCTAACATTTCCGACCGTGTTTTTTCCTCCTCAAGATGCAGAATTTGGTGCCAACACTCCAAGGGCGGGACTTCCTGTAGCCAAGGATGACAGCAGTAATACAGCTATTCTGATCGGCTGCCTGGTGGGCATCATCCTTCTGCTGCTGGCTGTGATAGCTGTCATTCTGTGGAGGCAGTACTGGAAAAAGATACTGGGCAAGGTGAGTCAACATGCAAAAGCAGTTGGTGATTTGGCCGTAGTGGTGGGCCTCACAGCAAAGAGGGTTACTGGGCTCGAACCCGCTGGTCGGCTCGGGCACTTCTATGTGGAGTTCTCCCCGTGTTAGCCTGGGTTCTCTTCGGGTTGTCCGGCTTCCTCCCACAGTCCGAAAACAAGCGGGTTAGGTTAATTGTTGACTCAAAGACCTTGTTCAGACCTTGCAGTAACATGTGTCTCGGGTGATTTATAAGTGCAGGTTTGAGATCCGATCGCTCAGCTCTGAGTCGATACGGCCACATTCTCTCAACAGTGTGTACGTCCCTTGCCCGTAGGTGTGAATGTGAGCGTGAATGGTTGTCTGTGTATGTCAGCCCTGCGATTGCCTGGAGAACCCCGCCTCTCGCCCCAATGTCAGCTGGGATCAGCTCCAGCTCCCCCGTGACCCAGTGAAGGATAAGCAGTGACAGATAATGTGTGGATGTAGCTAAAGAAGTCTCGATTTTAGTAGGCAAACTTTTGGACCATCTGTCTCATGAGACATCTGTTACCACCCAAGTAGAAAAGAGGTAAAATAAATGTTGTTTGTGTTGCTCAAGGATCTGAATCTGATTGCTTTTCCAGAAACAATGTGATGGTTATTTTGGATAATCCATAGATCTTTCTATTAACAGCTTTCATTGTAACTACTTTCCACAGAATAAATAACCCTAAGTGAGAACATGTATTCCTGTGTGATTAGGCTGAACTGTTTCTTTAAACCAGATGGAAATGATTGATAACAGGCTAAGATAACAACTGCCAGTCTTTTGGCAGAGCACCACTGGATCTCCATCTGGATGTGAATTGTTCAAGATTAGAGGTTTCCACAGTTTGATCACCATCTGCTTTAGGAATTCAAATGTTACATCCACACTCTTATTAGATACAGGTAGATAAAACTGATGCAGTCCAAAACAGCCAATTGTAATGTTCAGTGAGGAAAAAAGAGGTGTTGAGAGGTAGTTTTGTGTTTTACTGAGAGGTGTAGGTGATAATATGCAGCCTACCCTCATAAATGTGTACGGGTTGGACATGATGGTAGATGAAGTGGACTCAACACTTCTCTGAACATGAACAGGGTTTATTGCTGGACTGTTGTAGTAGGCCCGCATCTTGTATTTCCGGCATTACCTGTGAATCCTCTGCCCTCCCAGGCCCAGGGTAGTCTGTCCAGTGATGAGCTGCGGGTTCACCTGTCAGTCCCCTTGGACAACGTGGTCATCAACAACACACACAGCTACTCGAGCCGCTACCAGCGCATCCACACTTTCCCCGACGACCGCGACCATGACCGAGAGGGAGAAGGAGAGTATCAAGAGCCCAGCGCTCTGCTCCGGCCAAGGGATCCCAGAGACGGCACAGGTTGGTTTCAAACGCACATATGTGAGCACACACAGTTATGGAGTCCATTGATAGATAGGACCGGGTCTGTTGTTTCTGTTGGAGCCGAGTGGTTTAGTCCAGAGAAATCACATTGAGTAGAACATGCCCACATGCAGTAAAACAGTCCGCATGCTAAATACATGTGGACAGAGATTGATCTGTAGTCAAACACAATTAGCAAGGAGTCAGTGGAAAATGTGAAACAACTTTGTACATAATTGAAATTTCCGCAAATATGTATGTGGCTTGTGAAGACTTCGTCGTCTGCGTGCTTTTCATTTGTTGATCCTATCAATGAGCAAACTCGTGTGCAATGGGGAAGCAACAAGAGAGAAAATGTGGCACGCATATCAAGACACAATGGTCCTACAATGTGTTTCACCACACCAAACACAAATAAATCAAACCAAACACCCCGAGAGGAAGAGTGCCTCCATAAAGATGCGCGGCGCAGAGGGAAGCACAAAAGAGCCATTGTTCTGAGAAAAGAGGGAGGAGAAAAAGAGGAGTAAAGAGGGAGAAAAGCATTCCTTAGCACCACTGGAGGTCTGCATGCCGTCGTTACGAGGCGCCTGTGTGAGTTTGAAATAACACGAGAAACAGAAACATTATTCCATCCACTGTTTCTTGTTATGTTTGCTCGAGTTGTGTTAACTTTGCCTGTTCTTGCTTTGCTCATCTGCTCCATGCGTCAGTGCAACCCCTCCTCCTTCTCTTGTGTTGTAATGGACATGCTAACAATGCCATGCTAATGGTTGTCATTGTGTTTCATTGTGTGTGTGTGTGTTTTGTGCCACTTTGTATGATCCATATCATGACTCCTGCGTGCGCCTCGTTCCGTACGTGTTTGTGTGTTTTTGGTTATGTGTGTGTGCTCTCCCAGCCTTGCTGTTAAACAACCCAGCCTATCACCTCCTCCTGTCAGGTCACAGAAATGGCTCCAGATCCCTAGTCGTCCCCAGCACCTCTCAGGCTCAGGAAAAGAGCCTCAATGTGCCCCAGGGTAAGAGACCTCAGACTGGGCCGACACAGTCAGGAGGGGCCCCCTTCCTCTCCACCTACCTACCTTTCAGGGCGGGGCTTCAGAAGTGCTCTCACACAGAGATGCTTCTGGGATATGATAGTGATGATGACGTCTCTTTTCGCATGTGCACGACCATCATCATCCTTCCTGTTACTCACATAATTAGTCGCTCTCATTCACTCACCACTCCAAATAACTTTGTTTGAAGGGACAGTTTGATATTTGGGGAACTGTACTAATTTTCAAACGTACCCAGAGAAGTACAAACTCACAGACGCCTTTTTGTTTAGCCGGCGTGGCTCTGTTGATGTCTGGCTGTTTGGTTCATCAGTTTGGTCTTCACTGATGTCACACGACAAGTGTTGAATGAGTCAACATGACATTCTGTACAGGTGCCCAGTGGATGAATCCTACTGAATTTGATGACTTCTAGCTCCACCGTCAGGTTTTAATTTGTTGATTACCTGCAAAACTAATGTCGGCTTTGTACCGTGTTCAGTGCTAATCAGCAAATGTTACCATGCATTATAAACCCTATACCAGCTTAACAAAAACATTTTAACATTGTTGGGATGTGAGGATGTTAGAATGCCGACGTCAGCATTTACCTCGGAGCACCACTGTGTGAATCTGTGGAATAACAAAAGGCCCTACTTAAAAAAGATTACATTACTGTACATGTTAAGGGTTGTGTACTTACAGTAGGTGTCAACACTTTTTGTTGAATATCTTTGAGTACAGCATCAATCGTATCTGTTATATTGCGATGCAGTATTCCCATTCGTGGCTGTCTGCATTATTATTTTAACAAGGTTGTAACAACTTGGTATTCAGCCACACTCCTCACAAGTCTTTGACTTATGTACGCTGTCAGAGCCTCGTTGGAGCTGATCGTGTTTTGTTAGGTTGTTGCACCTTTTTGTTAAATCAAAACTTGAAATCGTATGTGCAAGTACAGCAGTAGATTCTTATTTAGTTTAAAGAAAGTAGAAGAGAGCTCTACAGCATCCCAGAAAGATTCATCCATCACAGTTGTGTTTTTTCGTAATTTGAATACCTGCTATGTGATCAAAAAGACGTTCAGGAATTAAGCAGGAAAAATAGTAATAATAGGCAATTCACCAAAGGTGTTATCCGTCTCTGTATGTAATTTTATTATCCTGTGTTTTATTGTTTTAGGTTGATTTATTTTTAAGCTTCTGTTTTCTGCACAGAACCTTATGAAGATATGTTTCTAAAAAGTGTTGTACAAAGAGGTTTTTTAATTTTATTTTTGTCATGAAATTCCCTCAAATCCAAACTATCCCTTTTATAACCGGTTTGTGATGGCATGCGATTCTCTCACTAACAACTCGTCTTCAATCAACACAAAGCTGTTTTTAATCACACAGCTCTTCAAATCTCTTCATTTAATCCACCCTGTCTGTCTCGTCCTCCTCCCTTCAGCCTGTGGTTTGGACATGGACATGGAGAAGGGTTTCCCCCCAACTCAGGAGGAGCCTCCTCCCTACCCTGGCTCTCCTCCGTACCCCTCCCTGTCCCCCCCTGTTTCTCCCCCACTGCCTCCCAGCGTTCCTCATTACGCTGAGGCGGACATCGTGAGCCTGCAGGGTGTCAGCGGTAACAACACCTACGCCGTCCCTGCCTTGACCTCCTCGAGCCCCGGGGCCGACACCACCCCGCTGCCGGAGCTGCCGCGCCAATATCTCATCTTCAAGGAGAAGCTAGGAGAGGGACAGTTTGGAGAGGTGAGGAATGACCCGAAAATGTTTTGTGTGTGTGTGTGTGTGTGTGGAGGGAGGGGTGGTTGTGCTTTTACCAATGTCAGTATTTATTTGGTCAAAGGTTCACCTGTGTGAAATCGAGAACCCTCAGGACCTTACCAACTTGGAGTTCCCCTTCAATGTGAGAAAAGGTCGCCCTCTTCTGGTGGCAGTGAAGATCCTGCGCCCGGACGCCTCCAAGAACGCCAGGTGTGTAACATTACACACAGCCGAGCCTGGCGTCATTGTGGTTCTCACTTCTTTCCACCTTCTAAGGCTTATCTTGAAAAGAACTGCAGTGTCTCATGACCCATTATGTTTTTAAATTTCCATGTCACGCTTCATACCCCGACTTGTTAGGTTGAAACGCGTCAACATCCATGATTTAATAATGCATTTTTAACTTGCATTCAGAGTGCCTCGGATGTTTCTGGAATATCAGGGTTTATTTACCTTTGTGTGGCTGGTGCCAGGAAAATTGATTGACTTCCTTGACAACTCAAGTATATATTTTTTAGGAATGTACCATTCAATAAAATTTTAGTTTTAGTTATAGCTTTAAAATCTTTCTGCTGAAATATTATTTTCCAGGTGATAGACGGAAGAATGTGGAGCCAGCCTTCACAAACCACATCATCTTATCAATTCCTCATTATCAACTGCATGAAATTACTGAGCTGTTCAGCAGAAGCATGGCTGAGGTTCTTTTCATCCGTCAACTACGATTCTAATATTTTCTCACATTTTAGCCCTGATTTGGTCCTTCAGCTCTCGTTAGAAACATACCTGGGCCTCTGTGGTTGTCTAGATGTCTGACTCTCGTCACCAGCTGCGTGCTTACTTTGGCTCTCTGCTCTTTTTGCACTGGGCAGATAAAGCTCCTATCTCATGTGAGCTTATGTGGTTAGTGAGAACCAGAGCAACACAAACGTATTGACCCGAAAAAACAAATCGATGAGGTGAACAGCCGGCCAGAGCTCCAGGCGGTGGTGTTGATTCAAGCCACTTCTTTTTTTTTTTTTTTTTTTTTTTACATGAGGCCTAAAATCCGCGTGTTTCACTCTTTATCGTTCCTGTGCAATATCCCTTCATCTTGGTTCCTCCTTGTCCTGGTAGGAACGACTTCCTGAAAGAGGTGAAGATCCTGTCTCGCCTGAAGGACCCGAACATCATCCGTCTGCTGGGAGTGTGTGTGAGCAGTGATCCCCTCTGTATGGTCACTGAGTACATGGAATGTGGAGACTTGAACCAGTATCTGTCCCACCGAGTGCTTCTGGACAAGACAGGACCTACACATAACACCCCGACCATCAGGTAAGCCAGAAATGTGCACACACACATCACACATGCACTCAGATTTAGATGAACACACAGTCAAAGTTTTGATTTATTCATTATTCCTTCTATCTGTCAACTTTTTCCCCCAGTTACCCGGCCCTCATCTCCATGGCCAGCCAGATTGCGTCAGGAATGAAGTTCCTCTCCTCTCTCAACTTTGTGCACCGGGATCTGGCCACGCGTAACTGTCTGGTCGGGGGTGAGAAGGGTGAGAGCGGAGAGGATCGGGGCGGTGAGCGTCACATCAAGATAGCTGACTTTGGCATGAGCAGGAACTTGTATGCAGGAGACTACTACAGGATCCAGGGCAGAGCTGTGCTGCCAATACGCTGGATGGCCTGGGAGTGTATACTCATGGTGAGAGGACAGGACTGTGTGTGTGTGTGTGTGTGTGTGTGTGTGTGTGTGCGCACATCTGATGGTATGTGATGATGGCAATACTGTATGTCACATTGTTAACCAGGATCAATTATAATAACATGTTACAACAATGCATTTGTTTTTTTAAATCTAGGAGTTTGTTTAAGTTTGAGTAAGAAATACCAACTACTTTAGAGGGAATCTGTTCAACAAATCAGCTCAAATGAATTTTCTCCCCTTTATTTTCCTCTTTTTCTGGTTTGTTTGTGCAACAAACAGGAGCTTGTTTACTGTAAACTTTGGTCGTCAGTGTCTTTGTGTAGCAGGAAATGCAACCTTTGACGCATGAATCCAGGGGAAACTTGTTAAACACCTTCTGCTTCGTTTAAAAATGAGTGCAAAAAAAAACCGTAAAAATATGTAAAGTTCAATAATGATGAACTCGTTTGTAAAAGAAATTGAGTAAATGTGTCATCCCATACCAACAATTAGGCATCCTATGATAATGATGCGGATAGTACTTTTGATACTGATGGAGATTATGATGTTGAAGATGAACATGGTTGTGTGTTCACAGGGTAAGTTCACCACGGCCAGCGATGTGTGGGCGTTCGGGGTCACTCTGTGGGAGATGCTGAGCGTTTGTCAGGAGCAGCCGTACTCCAACCTCACAGACGAGCAAGTCATTGACAACGCCGGGGAGTTCTTCAGAGACCAGGGCAGACAGGTACAACACAGAGTCTGGAGTACAAGCGCTCAGATGTTTTATTCTGATAATAACAGAGCTGTTCTTCGTTTCCTGAGGTGTTTTCACGTTGTGTTCAGAATGTAGTACATGCTACTGACTTCAGACGGATGATATCCGTGGCCCTCTAGTGGCCGGGCTGTGGGCCACGGCTCTTATTTGTAAGAACAATTAAAGATGTTTTTCTGCAGGAGACAAACTGTGTTGGACCAAAAAGAAATGTGATAAAGATTAATTTAGGTATTTGTCAGAGTTGAAAACTGGTAGACTTTATCACGTGTTTTCTTATTATTTGTAACATGTTCAAAATAAATCTTATCTAAATCTAAAAAAAGTCTCATTAATGAAATGGTCCCCGCTTCCTAACACCTTCCTCCCTTCCTCTCTCTTGCAGGTGTATCTGAGCAGGCCGGCTGTGTGTCCTCAGGGTCTCTTCGAGCTCATGTTGAGCTGCTGGAACAGAGACTGCAAGCTCCGCCCGTCCTTCGCTGACATCCACTCCTTTCTTACGGAGGACGCCATGAACATGGTGTAGAGAGAGCAACAGAAGGAAGAGAAAGGCAACGCTGAAGAGGGGAAACGCCTCGTTCGTTTCTGCATCCTTGCTGCGGTGGGGAAGGTGTGGTGGAGGTGCTGCACAGCAGAGGCAGATGAGAGGGGGAGAGTGGGTTGCGCGCTTTTATATTTGTACTTTTTTGGGTGGATGGGGCTGAGACACCGCTGGTTCGGTTTATTTCCACATCAGACCCCCAACCCCAAAGGCAAAACTAACCCCAGCTTTAGACCGGTGAGAGTCCGAGCTACATTTCAAGGGTGATGGGTGCAGTCTGCATAGGAACTTTCTCTCCTCTCAGATACTTTATTACAAGGGGGCTTTGTGTTACTGGTGACTAAGTGCTGTAGAGTTAATGACACGGGAAGCTGCTGAGCCGAAGTGACGGAAAGTTCTCCGAATACGACCGTAGCAAGCTCGGACATGAACACTTTGTTTCATGACTTTTGCATATCCATCATAAATGCTACATGCAGGGTAACGGGTGACTGTGCACATGACACATAAACTTGTCTGAACAGCACACCTATTGTTCGGACATGAAAGTGCACATGCAGGGATTGTCTTAGTATTTATCGTATGTATGCACACATGTTCATCAAAATCGGCTTCAGCCCCTTTTTGCCCATCTGAGGCACAAAAAAATGATAATTTGACCAAAAGTCTATGAAAAGATTTTCAGACGTGGCTGACTGATAACTTCAGATCTCACCATGTTTGTCGACCCTTCGACAATCCTCTTATCTTAACCCCAAAAACGTACACAGTGACCCTCATCCACAGCTGTAACTTCCAAGTTATTGTGGACTAATGTGAAATGATGTGGACCAGACATCTCCCCCCCCCCCCCCCCCACATTGTAGTCAAAAAGTCCAAGCCATTTTGAACCCCATCTTTGAGCCACAGAGAGAAGAGCTGTGCCAAATGGACTTCTAAAACCTGAGGAAACGGGCACAGAAGAGGAGGGTCTGCTGCTGCCGACGAGACGTGACCCACAAACTGGAACGGCTTTTCCAAGCAGAGAGACAATACTGCCATCTGGGGCAGAGGCCGGGACGTCTTCAGATGCGCCTGCCATCTGGCTGCGACCCAGACACAAAGGATCAAATGAAAAATTCCACAACCAGCTGCACTTTAAATCCTACATGCATATCCCCGGCCATGATGGAAGTCCTCTCTGCGAGGGGCCTGATATGATTCCTGTCGATGTGGATTCTAATGCATCTCACCTGCAGTGATTTCAGTTGTTTAACCAATGGAGATCAAAATTCAGGACGGTCTTGTCTTCCTTGTTGAATCCTCTCCCTACAAGGCATTGCCAAACCAAGAGATGTAAAATATTATTTAAAAAAACAAAATGGAATGGCACCATCAATTCATCTCATTTTATGACGACTTTTTGTTCGGTGTGTTGAGACGCGTCTACTCATCGAATATTCAATCTCTGCTCATCCAAATGCATTACCGTGCTCTACAAACGCACTGTCGCGGTATTACTCAAACTGAATTCTGGGAGTTCTGACTTTAGTGTGAATGTCATCATCAACCTCTGCATTTTCCCACGTTAATACATTAAGCTGACTGCGGTAGAATCAATGCTATCTACCTTACTGACTGTATAGCACTGTAAATCAGTCCCGAGGTGATCAAGATTATCAAGTAATACATGTTTACTGATTGTCAATGGTTGTGCCATTTGAGTCAATTTTGATACACTGTAGTTCAACCAAACCCATATTTTTATATATACTTTATGTACTTAGACACTCCTTGATGTCTGATTTCGTCCTTTGTGTCTTTTGAGGTTGAGCATCATAGTATGTACATATTTTAAGGACAGAATTGTAATTTCCTTTACTAATATATGGAAAACTCTTTGTAACATTTGGGGTCTTCTGTATCTCTGTAGAACGCTTGCTACCTTGATGCCATGGTAATTCATCGTTGTCTATTTTTGTAGATGTTTTAATAAACATTAATCTTTTCAAGAAATTCAAGAATTGCTCTTGGGCTGTGACTATTGATTATTGTCATTATTGAATAATTGGTAATTTTGTACTCATGTTTCATTGACCATTCATATTTTCTGAGGGCCTAAAGGTGACCAATAGTCTAATACAAATATATTCAATTTACAATTATATAAAACAGGAAAGCAGCAAATCTTCACATTCGATGAAGAACTTAATTTTACTATAGTTTATTCATAGTCTGATCTATACCTCTAGTCTGCTCCATGTGGTCTCAAATAAAACTTCAATGAAGTAATTAAAGAAATACAATAAACAGGTTACAGTGATTAAACCATTACTTTATTGTTGAACATTTCACTACAGATAAATCTTGTCCACTACTTTAAAGCTATGTTATTTTGTCAACTTAAAGTACACACATGCAACGGCACGTTTAATGAAGAGTAAAAGATTAGTCACAAGAAGAAACAAGTGGAGACTGATTTGGCTTTCATCTACGGTCGTCCCTAGTGACGTCCCATGGCTTTAGGATCAGTGGGATATGAGGAAGAGTTCCCTGACAGAAAAAGTATAATGGGTTTAAGTAAGGAAGTAGACTTGACGGTTGTGGATTGACCAGGCACTTGGCAATAACAAAATGCATACGGCTTGACAGCTGAAGAGTCTGAAAACAAGAGCTCCAGATCAGAGACGCTGAACTGTTACTCAACACCTTCCAATAGGCAAGAGCTAAACATCTGTTAAACTTTATAATAGTCACATCATAGAAAACGCTATACACTATTTAAAAGAACAAAAAACAGACCATCTCCCATATGTCAGTTTAAACTCGAGACAGCAAGCAAAGCAGCAGGCAGCATGCATGGCTCTCCTTGACTCGTGTCTAATAAAGACTCCTGAAGACGCTGCAGCAAAGTCAACTGACATCGTTTCTTTTCCACCACAACAGACTTTCATTTCTTTCAACGGGAAACCCCTGTAGCTCGTTCCCACCAACCACTTCCTTCCCCTTCATTCTGAAACGCAAAAGAAAATCCATCAAACTGATATGATTTTGGGCTCAGTAACTTCAGTCAGTTTCTACAAAAGAGTAGTGGAGTTAACCATCAACCCCCCGACTGTCTCTTTTTAAAATGAACGTGAAGCTCGGTCCAGCAACAATTCGCCCACACACACAAAACTACGAGGTGATGCTGTGATAAAGAGCTCAGCACCGTTTAACTGAAAGGCACAAAAAAAGAAACTACAGCCAACATTTACTACATTAAAAGTAAAACAAAAAGGAATGACAGTCAGTTGATTAAATCCATATACAGAAAGAATGAGGCTGGTTGGTTTAGTAAAAAAAAAAAAAAGATTGCATACTTAAGGTCAAGTATAAAACAGCAATGAGAGGAAGTCCTACTTTGGGGTTTTGTCTCCTGGTAATAACAGCTTCATTAATAATCCTATCCCTTGCAGCTACTTTTTGCTGTCATCTACAGCACAACAGCTCAGAGCAGGAACATGACGGAGAACGTTTAGATGGAGGAGGAACAAGGAACGAGAGACACACAAAGTGAAACACACATGCACATACGATCGGACAAGACTACGGTGCTGCAGTGGTTATAGGCACAAGGAGGAGACGTGAAGCTCCTAGTCTGAATGTGGGGGACACCTCTCCTGATTACTTCTTGCTCTTCGTCTCTTCTTAACGCACGAGGCCGGGCGCTCCTACAACCTGCAGAGTCGACGAGAGAAACGTGAGACGATTACCGGCTGCAGCAGTCTCACATCAGACTTTCACACACACGTGTGCTCCAGCTTACCTGGGAGATGTGGACTCCGGTGAGTTTCTCCACAGCGGCAGGCAGCCTGGTCATGATATCTAGCACCTCCCCAGTGAGTTTGGCCACTCCCACCTCTGAGCCACCACTGGACACCATCGTGATCTTTTTAGACGCCAACAGTGGCTTGCTGATCTCCTCTGCCATCTGCAGGACGAGAAACAACAGAGGAATTAATGCAGAGAAGAGGGGACAGAGATCATTATCATCATCTATTCACTCATCCGTGACAGTCAGACTGACCATTGGCAGTTTCTCCAGCAGCATGTCCACCATGGCTCCGTCTTTGTACTGCTGGAAGGCTTCTGCTTTCTTGGTCATCTGCTCCGCCTCGGCACGGCCCTTAGCCTCCATGGCAAAAGCCTCGGCGTCGCCCTTCATCTATACAGACACACAGAAATGTACAGAGTTAATATTACAATATAAATGTACAGGGCTAGAGGAGAGGGGGGGGGGGGGGGGTGAAGTGGAAATGGCATTGAGTATTTTCAGAAAAATAGGAAAGATGCGCCAGGACTCGCCTTGATGCTCTCGGCCTCTGCCTCGGCCTCCATGATGAGCTGCAGGCTGCCAGGAGGGAGGAGAGGAGAATTGTTTATATTGAATTTTGTCCTTTCTCTGTGCTGTTCGGATGTTGGATGCACATCACTTGATGTTTACATGTTTCATAGATCTCATCAGATCAACACAACAGTATCGTGGCTCCAGGACTCACCGCTGAGCCTCAGCCAGTCTCTCCAGTCGGTACTTCTCTGCTTCTGCCGGCTTCTTCACTTTGGCCTCCAGCTCCTTCTCCTTACGTGTGATCTCCTGCTCCTGCAGGGTAATCTGCTGGGTGCGCTCCACCACCTGAATCTGCATTTTCTCCTCCTCAATGCGCTGCTTGGTCTTGGCCACCTGGCAAAGGAAGAAAGAGGAAAAAGAAAATTCCAACACTACTGAACCTTCAATCACGGGAAAGTAATCAAGTATCATGTACAATCTGGATTTGTCCTGTTAGTACAAACTCAACCAGCCAGCCCAATAAAATGTGTGGACGTGGTGTGCACAGGCTCAACAGACAACATTTCACCAGCACAACAAAAACATATCAAACTTAAAAGCAATTGGCCCGAGAAGATCAGCTCATGAACTGTACCTGAAGCTGATAGGCCATTTCTGACTCCGCCTTCTTAGTGTTGACCTCGACATCATAGGCGGCCTTCTTCAGCTCATAGTCTCTCTGGGATTTTGCCATCTCAATCTCGTTCTTGTACTGAGCTGAAACCTTCTCCTGCATCGCGTTGGCCTCCTGTGTGGAGCACGTAAGCAGGACAGAAAACCGATGAATTTTGGGGGATTCTTTTCAAACTTAACGATTATTCTCATTTTCGGATTTGTCCATAGAAGCAGATTTTACCCTCATGACAGAATCCCGTTTGTACTGAGCCTCTCCAATCCTGGCATCCTTCTGCACCTGAGCTGTTCTGGCTTTACCCAGAGAGTGAAGGTAGTCCTGTGAGAGAAACGGGGACGGTCAGCCGTGAGACGAGCATTAAAAAGGATGGCAGTGAATTCAGCAAACAAAAAACAAGAGACGGTGTGGCTACCACTGAAGACCTAATTCATCACTAATGTAAAGAGCAGCTGGAGGTCTCAGAGACAGTGAGTCAATATCATTACTTAAGTCCATTACTGCAACAGAGGAAATCATGTGACGCTAAAAGCTTTCATATAAAAAAACGTTGAGGCTCAAAGCGACACTTAAGATTCCTGCTGCTCCAGTAATCAGTGGGTGGTGTTTTGATCATTACATGTTTGCCTGGCAGAAAATGAACCCAAACAGACAGGAAGTACCTGATCATCATGAACATCTTTGAGCGTGTAGCTGACCACACCGATCCCCATGTTGACCAGGTCAGAGGAGGCCACTTTAAAGACCTGCTCAGAGAACTTCTTACGGTCCTGATAGATCTCCTGTACACAGGGAGAGATTATATTGTATAAGTAAGTGATGAGTCATAAACATAATCTTTTAAAGATGGAAAATGTCAAGCAAATCCATTTGACACGCTCAGAACACCAACCTCCACAGTCAAATGGGCAATGATGGCTCTCTGGTGTCCCTCCAGTGTTTCTAGAGCAATCGTGGAAATCTCGGCCTCAGACTTGCCCATAAACATTTGGCAGGCAGTGGCCAACATCTCTTTGTTCTGGCCCTGGATCTTCACCTGCACAAAGACAGGAGAAGAGAATGTGAAAAAAGATGAAGCAGGTCAGACATGAAATAAAAATCTGGCATTATCGATGCCACAGCCAGATGTTTTTTCTTTCCATTTTGCACTTTTAAAAACAATCAACTTCCTATAAAAATAGCCAAGGACTCACTAAATTCTTTCTCTAAGGGGACGTCCCATTGGCCCTCTCCATCCATCTTCCTTTCCCTTGTTTACTAACAGTAAATAACCTTTAAACTGCACTGAACATGCATGCTGTGTGTTTATAAATGGTACGATGAGTCTAATCCTCTGGCAAAAATATTGGCACAAGTTTAATTTGCTTGTGTTTCAGTATTTTGTATTTATTCATGTAATCAGACAGTTACTTGTTCCCGTCCACTCATACTGTAAATCAATCAGTTATGCAGAGCATCAGACCTGTTTCTGTAGACAGGTGTTTCAAATAGCAGCTGAACGTCTTCCCTGCCTTTTGGTGTATATGCAAAACATTGTAAATCTATTATAATAACGTTTACAATATATCTAAATATAATTTTTCTTCGTGGAAACATACCCAGCGTTTTGACTCAATTCAATAAAAGCTGTACGGTATTTCCAAAGCATACCTGTGCAATGCCGGTGACAGAGATAGGGACCCCATGACGGGTGTAGACTTTGTCACTCTTCACATTTAGAGTCAGAGTGTTGAGGGCGATTCTGAGAAGAAAAGGCATAAAATAAAAGGAAAGGGTGAGATATAATAACAAAGAGCAAGAATGACAAGGCACAGCATAAGAGAGACGGAGGGAATTAAGTCAATTATCAGCCACAAAACAACAGCTAATGGATACAGCAGTCAGAAAAGTTACCAGCACATCTCTCCTATCAACATCCATTTCCCTTGTTAGCTGACCAGTACATAAAATCAAGCTGCTATGAGGAATGGAGACTGAAATAAAGGATCACCTCTGGATCTTCTGAATACATGGGAGGACAAACACTCTTCCTCCAGCAATCATTAGAGGAGGAGACCGGCCAAAGCCTGCAGACAAAGAAGGGAGGGGAGAACACATAACATAAACGATACGCTACCATTCATTAACATACAGCTGGTTATTGATAGAGTAACTGGATCTAGGACATAGTTTAACGTGCAAACCCAGTAGTACGACAATATCAATATAATGCTGTTTATTCACAACAGCTTGAGAGTACACTTTACAGCAAGCTGGAAAATTCTTAGTTTACTCCACTTTCAGTGTTGCTCAATAACATGTCATCACAGGACATGTGGTAATTAAATCACATGACGCAAGTTTTCCACAAGTTTTCAGTTCCAGTGTAAACAAAACTCATTTTATCACAGGATTGTTATGACACATCACACAGTACAGTGGCCTTCTGAAAGTGTGTAACAATATTACATCAGCATTCAATATTTCATTACTCAACTTTTCATACCATCCTGTGTTTATTGTGAGAGAAATAATCATGAGATGTAGGCAAAAGATGTGAAAGAAATTATCTCACCAGACACCACCATGGCTTCATTGGGTCCACATGTGTAAAACATCTTGATTTCTGATTTGAAGCAAAGATATTATATCAAGAGCATGTCAAAAGGATGGACATCTAAGTATATTTATGTATTGTAGAGAACCACTGCTCAATGGTCATAAACAATATTAGGGTTTTATGACAGTATTAAACACTATTTTCTGTATTGAACCTTAATAAATGCAATTTAAATTGATGGCACCACTATACAATATTGACTGATATTAACATTCCGAATATTGTTAATACCGTGGTATCGTAATTGATGGATTATTTAGGTGTAAAAACAGTGCGGTAGTAACACAACTGACATGTTTATGTCAATGAAGCTTCGAACGTTCGACTCGAACGTTATATTTTCACAGAGAACAAGCCCCGCCCCCTACAAACAACTCCCATACAGCGCAGACAGCTCGTTTTGACTTTCGCCTTTAAGGACCAACGTGTTGTCAAATATTAGAATAAAAACGCATCGCTGCTCGTAAAAGAAGATGTCGGACATATAGTACAACGAATGTAGAACCGAATAACGGTCTGCAAAGACGGCTAGTTCGCATGCTAACGTTAGCTAGCTGATAAAAAAAAAAAGACAGCGGAGTAGGGTCTGGGTTGATAACGTCACCAACGTACGCCTGTGGAAAACAGTCCAGCGTTTAGCTATCCCACACATCTATTCACTACATGATGTAACACATCGAACTGATCACTCCATGTAACTTACCGATATCCGGTCGATGCAGAAGTAAATCCTTTTTTAAAAGAGTAACTTGAGGTCAGTTTAGTGTTGCAACGGTCAGCTACTAAGCCGTTTTCCCGTCAACTGGAATGGCAAAAATGTCTGCGAGAAGAGGGGGAAGTGTGCAGTGACCACGCCCATCCTCACGACACGAACGTCCGCCGTCAGTCGCCACCTAGTGGTTGATCATGATAACTGCACTCTATCTATCCATCTATCCATCTATCCATCTATCTATCTATCCATCCATCCATCCATAAAATCCAAAAGTGTTATAGTATTCTGCCCCAACTGTATGTAAATGAAAAGGGCGAAAAAAAAAATCACAAACACCTATCAATATGTTGTAGTTACCTTAGTAGTAGTCACCTTAAACTTGGACCTCAGGGATACACATATAATTTAATTTTGAGATGGTTTAAAAATGTTGATTTTCGTGGACTTTCAGTTGCCAGATATCACAGTGAGGTTTGCGACGTTGCCTGAATCTACATAATAATAAATTCCACTGCTTAATTGTGCATTGAAGGTCCGATTTAAAATTGAAGATTTAGCAGACAGAGAATACACCAAACAGAACACAGTCCGAAACACATATTATCAACAATTATTAGGTTTAGGTCGTGATATTAAAAGTAATTGCCCATACATCAAGTGTCAATCGCAATGGAGTCTTGCATGACAATTAGACTCAGTGGTAGGACTATGACCGCTTCTAAAATAAATTCAGAACTAGACTATTTCATATGAATAAAAATCATCCTGCAGCAGAGATTAGTTCATAACTCTGTAATCCACTAACTCCAATCTGATTATACCATAAACATGGAGGATTCTGGATTTGTTCCTGTCTGATGGGAGCTGCAGGGACCTGGCTCACCCATCCTGTCCACTCTGACCAGACCTCAACCTTTTGAGCCCAGACTCTTTGCCGCTGGTGTGAGGTTACATAGAGCAAAGATTTTTCCTTCTCCTATTTGTCCAGGTTGTTGAGTCGAGAATGAGTGAAGTTACTTCTCCTCTCTCTCATGAGTTACAGGACAATACATGCACAAGACTGAAAAACAGCGTCTTACCCAAAGCTGTTACCATACACACACACACACACACACACACACACACACTCATATGTATACAGTATATATATATATATATATATATTACTCTATTCTTACACTGCTACTGCTACTTGTTTACACCTTGTGCATTTGCTAGATTTTATGCTGCTATTGTGTATTTGTACACTGGACAGCACTTTGAATACTGTTCTTATTTTGAAATTATTTTTATTATTTTTGTCTATATCGTAATTAAGTTGTATTGTTGTCTTGTGCAACAGTATAATGACAATTCTCTCATATCTTATCTTAACCAATTGAAACGAATGTTCCTGTTACTGCATATTTGATTTACTTTCATCAAACAGAATTTTAGCTTTTTGGTATCAGTAACAATCTAACTCTTACAGTACGGCGTTGTCTCTGGGAGGTCTGGAAGAGTAAAGGGCAACTTTTATGCTGGTTAATAATTATACGCTTACATACATGTATGACCAACAAACTTTATTATAACACTGTCAGCTCACAAAATCCCAAAACCCCCAAAATAGATACAGAACAGCTTGGACCTTGAGGTTAAATTGTTTTTTTCAATTTCCAAAGCTAAAAATGACCTTGAGCTTTTAGGCCGTAATGGATAAACAATCTTTGAAGTGCCCCCAAAAAAAGAAAAGAAAATCTTATATCCATGACAACTGGTCAAACTCCAACTGCAGATGGAGATTTAATTTGATTTCACTTCATTGCTTTCTGAAATGGGTCCTGCGTCACAAGATGTGACCTATACTCTGTTTCACATAACAGTCCACAACATTCATACAAACATACACATCAGACATGGCGATGAAGCAGCTGCAACGCAACACAGTTTCATGGTTTGCTTTCACATTCAGTGCTTACCCAGACCTTAAAAGAAGTGCAGCATGACTCCAGGACGACTGAGACCTGAAGCTCTGAATTGACCATTCGACAGACAAAGGCGTTCTTAACTTAATCAACAAGATATGTAATATGATAATAAACAACAACAACAAATACTCCAGAACAGCTACTAAATGGGCCTTGTGGTGAGACAAAGGACCCTGAGAGGGGCTTGAGCTGGCTGACCCCATCTTGTCCCTGGTTTGAAACTGAAATGTCTGCCATCTGTCTACTCTGCAGGGAGTGTTACAGTAAGAGTGCTTTTAAAACTGCTGATTGGTTATTCAGCTTTGAAATCTGAAATTAAAAAAACTGCAATATGTGTCAGTCACCAGCTGTTACTGGACAGCAGCTGGTAAAATGCTGTTCACTCTCTATATCTTATTTCCACACCCAGATCTGCAGCAGCGCCCCTCCTCATTCTGGCTCCGGGTTAGCCTTCTCAGCCAATCCGCGTTCAGCATCAGCCGGGTCTGGGTTTAGCCACGCCCACTCCCCTGCCCCAGCCTCGCTCTGGAAGCGCTCCAACACTATAAATGCATTGTCCTGCGCTTCTACATTAGTCTTGGGTCGGCTCCTCGTCCCTGCGAAGTGACTTGTCTGCTAGTCGTTGTAAAACTTTTGCATCCGCTATGAGGGAAATCGTTCACATCCAGGCCGGCCAGTGCGGTAACCAGATCGGTGCCAAGGTAAGAAAACATAATTATCGATCGAATAGTTATTCTTTTATAGCATGTTTCCTCTCACTGTTAAAAAAAAGAAAAAAGAATTCACCGGCTCATTATGCAAGACACACCCATTAAGCGTTTTAAAGTCCCTGATTGTTTTGTCTGTGTAAGAAGACAAAGGACTCCTTTTGTCTCATTGTGCATGAATAAAAAAACATTCCGTCCATACATTACATAGCGTTATGTATTTAAACACATCACAAATCATAACTGTTGAATTTGTTTTTCATCACTTTTCTGTCTGGATTTTGAGCACTGCGGTATCCGGTATAGGTGTGTGTGTGGAGCAGCGGACTGTGCTTACATAGAAATAACGGTTTAACGGGGCTCTTGTGTCTCGAGGGGTTTTTGTTCACACAACACCGGGCGTGTCTGCGTCTCAACAGCTGAGGACTCATCTGACCTCAAGATATTGTCTGGGGAAAAGAAAGAAAAAAAAACGGGTCTATTCTTCACCTGTCAGAGCCCCTCAGTCAGAGTATTCAGCACTGGGTTCTTTGTCTTGCACACACAGATATGGCTGGTATCAGACAATGAGTGGGAGCTGGGATAGCAACACCAAATGGCCATATTGATTATATTTTATTCCAGCGGGTTGTAGATGCAGACTGCTGCTTCAGCTGGTGAGAAAGCAGGGAGGCGGTGGAAAGGGTGTGGCATGGATAATTGGATGAGAAAGAATTGTTCCTTTAAAATAGACTGATGAAGTGCATTTCATGAGAGACATCATCAGCGCTTTTAGCAATGAAATACTCTCACATACTTACTTTTGTCAATTTTGTATTCAATTTGAATGCATTTGACACTATAGTCTCCTTAATAGGGCCCTGCAGTCTGCCTCACATCACCCACCCAGTCTCACCCAGTAACAATAGCAGTCTGCTATACAGTACATGTCTTCATGGCCCGTTATTATCCCTGTCTTATTACCTGTCTTATTACCTGTCTTATTACCTCCTTTTGTTTTACAACTGATCATTTGCTACAGAGAGCATATGTTTGAATGGGATCTCTCAAACACACACACACACACACACACACAGGAATCTTGCCCTGTTCAAATAGAGTTTAGAGACCACAATGGCCCATGTATTACAAGATACGTCGTTATCGTTGTGATGCTCGGCTTGCAGAGATTTTTATGTCCAGTAAAGCAGGGCCTGTCTGTGTAATCAGTTTATTTCCTCTCTTAACCATATTAGGGGAAGGGTGGGGGAGGAATGGAGGAAACAGCTGATGCGCAGTGGGTGAAGTCATTGGGTTCATAAATGATATGCCTCATGAAGAATGGCTAGTAGAAAGAAACACAACATATAACCATTATATATACTTCTATTGAGTTTGTATAGCAGTTGCACCACAGAATGTAAACTTCAGTACATAGTGTATAGGCTTATGCAATTGGAGTTATTGCAGTATATCCATCTCCCCTTCTAAAGCATGGGGCATAACTTGTGTCTTTGTATTGTCCAATGGTGTTACAATAACTACTGTGAGGATCCACATTTGTTTCCAGTCCTTCAGGACTCATTGACTCAGATGTCCAGTGGATATGATTGACAGAATTGCTGAAGAGCTACATTGTGGTGAATTAGGTCAGGGTGTGGCATTGCCGTCCTGCTTATTGTCCCCATTCTTTCACTGTGAATGTTTTCAGTCTTTACTGATAGCCAACTACTGTGTCACTGTCAAATACGTATATGTCAGTTTCTCAGTCTTTTTGGTCGTTCTTTTTCAACTCTTTGTTCTCTTTATCCTGCTGTGATCGCACTCATATTAAGGTCACTTGGTCATTTTTGTTTTACGTGGTCTTATTTAAATGTCATGATACTCAGACTACAGCTGACTCCCAATCTCTTAAGTACTGAGCAGCAATACAGCCCGCTTATCCAGATTACTCTAAATCCTCCCACTGCTGCTGTTTGCAGAAAATGACAAAAAAAAGCCCTTATTTGGGAGATATCAGAAAAATATGCGCAAGCAAATGTCTGGCTGCATGCAGCAGTCCCGCCTACTAATGGGATTATACACAGTGTGAGTGTGGTCTTTAAAGAGTGAACAAGACATGAATACAGATCTGAAGACAAGCAGTCTCTCCAGTGTAGTGTGACTGCCTGCAAATGGAGTTTGTTTGCAGTGTTGCCCCTGGAGTGATCTGTAGGCCCTTTGTGCTCCCTCCTTTGCATTTTACATGTGAAAGAACTGCATTCTGCTGAGTCATCACTCGATAACTTAGCAGGGGGAAAAAAGCAGGAAATATGAACAGCTGCATTGTATTAAATGGGTTAATATATGCCGTGAAAGGAAGAAAAATCCTGTCGTTTTTTTACCAGAATCCAAAAATGCAAACCCACTGCTGTTTTCCTCTTTTAAAGTCCCTGGTCCAATAAACCGCATTGCTAATGGCCACGTGTGTACTTTCTTTGGAAGCAACTGTCAAGTGATACCTTCCATTTTGTGTCCGCAGTTCTGGGAAGTCATCAGCGATGAGCATGGCATCGATCCCACAGGGACTTACAACGGAGACAGTGACCTGCAGCTGGACAGGATCAGTGTCTACTACAATGAGGCCACCGGTAAGTTAATATCTATTTGGAGTATGTTATGTGAACACATGCTCATTTCTTCAACACATGTCTTAAGTTATAATTCATTCTGAATTATAACTTAAGACATGTTGTTACATACTCATGTCTGCTGTCGAGCATGGATTTTGTCACATTCAATATTCTGTGTAACGTCTAAAAATGTGTTTTTCTGCATTATTAAATTGGTATGTTTTCTCTCTCTCTCTCTCTCTCTCTCTGTCTCTTTCTCGTGAAGGAGGCAAATACGTCCCTCGGGCCATTCTGGTGGACTTGGAGCCTGGCACCATGGACTCTGTGAGGTCTGGACCCTTTGGGCAGATCTTCAGACCTGACAATTTTGTGTTTGGTGGGTGAAATAAATCAATTTTCTCATGATGCTGAATGACTTGAGCCCTTTTTTTATGAAGAATGGCTCACCTGTATGTCCCTCCAGGTCAGAGCGGTGCTGGAAACAACTGGGCCAAGGGTCACTACACAGAGGGAGCTGAGTTGGTGGATGCAGTCCTAGATGTGGTCCGCAAAGAGTCAGAGAGCTGTGACTGCTTGCAGGGCTTCCAGCTCACCCACTCTCTTGGTGGAGGAACTGGGTCCGGCATGGGAACCCTGCTCATCAGCAAGATCCGCGAGGAGTACCCCGACCGTATCATGAACACCTTCAGTGTGGTGCCCTCCCCTAAGGTAACGTACTCTTGTGATAGAGCATAAGAATTTGGGGTTTTCATTTTAGTGTATCTTGCCTTGGGATTTTCTCCGCTAAGATCATGAGACTGAAGAACGATTCTGCGTGTTTTCTGTCCTCAGGTGTCGGACACAGTGGTTGAGCCCTACAATGCCACCCTCTCAGTCCACCAGCTTGTAGAAAACACAGATGAAACCTACTGTATTGACAATGAGGCCCTGTATGACATTTGCTTCCGTACTCTGAAACTCACCACACCCACCTACGGAGACCTTAACCACCTTGTGTCCGCCACCATGAGCGGGGTCACCACCTGCCTGCGTTTCCCCGGTCAGCTCAACGCTGATCTTCGCAAACTGGCTGTCAACATGGTGCCTTTCCCCCGTTTGCACTTCTTCATGCCTGGCTTCGCCCCCCTGACCAGCAGAGGCAGCCAGCAGTACAGAGCCCTCACAGTTCCCGAGCTCACCCAGCAGGTGTTCGATGCTAAGAACATGATGGCTGCATGCGACCCACGTCACGGCCGCTACCTGACCGTCGCTGCCGTGTTCCGTGGGCGCATGTCCATGAAGGAGGTCGACGAGCAGATGCTGAACGTCCAGAACAAGAACAGCAGTTACTTCGTCGAATGGATCCCCAACAACGTGAAGACCGCCGTCTGTGACATTCCACCCCGTGGCCTCAAGATGGCCGTCACTTTCATTGGCAACAGCACAGCCATCCAGGAGCTGTTCAAGCGTATCTCAGAGCAGTTCACAGCCATGTTCCGCCGTAAGGCCTTCTTGCATTGGTACACAGGCGAAGGTATGGATGAGATGGAGTTCACTGAAGCAGAGAGCAACATGAATGATCTGGTGTCGGAGTACCAGCAGTACCAGGATGCCACTGCTGAGGAAGAGGGTGAATTTGAGGAGGAGGCTGAAGATGATGCCTGAAGATAAAAATGGGAAAGTCATTACATCAATGGCAAAATGAAAAACATAGTGTCTGAAGCATTGCTAGAATTAAACTTTAGCATAGATATCCTTAGTGATTCACTGCAAATAAAGTTGTCAAGTGAAAATGTGTTTGCATTTCATTAATGCGTACAATTGTTCATATTTGTTTGATAAAACATCAACTACAAGTCAGCCGTCGTATCTCAATCACATTTCAAAACTGTGTAAAAATGTAAAAGGATTTAATGTTGAGGCAGATTTCCAGAGATGGATGAATGTTAATTCTGTTGAGGTCAGCAGTTTGTGCAGTAGAGGATACTAATGTGCAGTCACGTGCCGTTTCCTGCTGCTATAAAAAAAAGCTGCGTCATTCAATTTCGTTATGCATGGATAAGAAGGTTTAATGTCTGTTCCATGAGTAGTTAGCTATAAAACAGTTACGTAAACAGGAATTATCAGTGCTGATATGCAGTCAGTCCAATATGATATTATTGGAGTATTTAATGAGGTGTAACAGAGTTTGCTACTCCGGAGCGCTGTGTGGCATGACCAGTTTGCAAGATGATAGTCCGACCAATTTCTTTCTCTGTACCAAACCACATTCCCACAACTAGTCAAATGTAAGAACACGTGTTCATTGCACCCCAGCAGCATTTAGATGATCTTAATACAAAACTTAAAAAGTGCAGTTCCAAATGCTTAGACCAAGCAACAAAGTTGCATACTTAATTTGGAATACTTAAATATTTTTACAACTCAACAATAAAAACAATATGTGTTTATAGTTTCTTGTAAGGCTTTGCATTCACATTCCTGTGGAGAAAGTGGAGGTGGAGAAATAGTAACTTTATTATTTAATATAAATATAAGACTCACAACTGTTGCTGGTGCTGTTAGGTCTGAACTTTTGAACACAGGGAAAAATCGCCCCCCTCCCTGCAGCCATGTGCTCTCAATCGACTCCAAAACACAACAGCAGGTTTAAGTCAAAATCAAATGGATTTATTATCCAAGAAGCATAAAAACAGATACAAACAGTTACAAACCGATTCACACTACTAATAACAAAACAAACCCTCGGTGGCCCGCAGAAGATCTGAAATCCCCCAGAACTTCAAACCCTTTGTCTCCCCAAAGTTACATTTCTCAGCTCATCGATCAGCTCATTGATTGGCTGAAGTCCAACAAGCCCCTCCTGGGCCGATGCCCCATTGTTTTGATCTTAACACCTCATGCAGCCACTTTCCCAACCCCAGCTCCAGCACATTCCTCAAACCCCCCTCTCTAACAGGCACTCAAACACACCTCTTGGTCTAAACGTCCTAAGTAAACACATTGTAACATATAATATCCATAATTAGGAGCTTCAAAACCTAAATTTCCCACAGTGCCCAAAACATGCTGGGCTCAACCTGCAATGGGGCCCCAGGGCAAAAATTAGCTGCTGTGCCCATATTCCTCCCACACAGGCCCCAAGGTTACTGTATGGTAATGTATGCAAAAAATAAGGACCAAACTGAAATAGTAATGGTCTTAGACTACCTTTAACTCAGGTACTCAAGACAGCTTCTCAATGTTTGTAATAAAGCAGCACCTACTTCAAGGCCCTTATCAAGGGGTCTGTGCTTTAGCACTGCATATATTTAAAAAATGTCGTATAAAAATGAGTTTTAGGAATACAGAGCAGTAGTTCTGTCTTGAACAAAATATATGAAAATAGAAAATGAAGCTACATCTGAACTGTACTAAAAAATAGAATCTCTTTGGACCACCTCATGAAATGTAACTGACAGCAAACTAAAACAAAGAAGTAGACCTAAGCAACTGGCTAATGTAAAATTGTAAATGTTTTCTAACTATCTATCAGAAAATTTCCCAAAAGTTGTGTAAGTTATGCAGACAGTTGGACCAGTTCATTGTGTAGACCAGGGTGTGTGGCGGCCCCTTTAAGATGCGCGTTTGCGGGAAATGTTGATCCAATCAGAGTCTTTTAAAGTTGGACTGGGTTTAACTGACCAATGGCAACAGATTCCAGAGTGAGTGAATGGTATATTGGCCAATCACTTGCGGTTGGAACGCCTCTGGTGGGCGTGGTTAACTCCTTCCCGGATGTGCATGTTTATTTCCGTTTGTTGTATCTCCACTGAGAAAAGCGTGTGAAGGTAAGCATGAGGTTACATCCTTTTTCATAATATGTGAAGACAATATTGTAATACACACCCACATTGCAAATTTACATACGAGCTCATTTGAATAATGTTGCCATGCAGTTGGGTGTTTAACGGTCAAGCCACTCGTTTAATCTCTTATCGTTAAACTTCCTGCAGAGTTTCAAGGTAACGTTAGGTTAATTGCCCTGATAGTTAATTAATATTGCACTGTTTTTAAATAAAAATGAAGACGTGGGGTTAATTACACAATGGGTTTTTAGGTTTCCTATAACATGAGGTTATGATGTTGACCTCTGATTTACTCCAACTAGAGTTTAACGTTTTTTTGTGGTTTTGTTTTTATGCTGACCGGAAGCGGGATTGCTGTGAAGTGATGCAGCATTGACAGACATGTTCATACACGTTTAATATAAGTTGAATCAGCGTTAATTTATGCTTCAAATTGGAAGTTAGCAAGAATACAATAGGAAAGTATAGCCAAAGAGCTCGTCAATTAGCTATTTAGGCTAACGTTAGCTGCATGAAGTTGCCTGGTAATATTTATGAACTGTTTGTGCTTTCAAGGCCAGTTGAAGCTACCGTTGGTGGAATTAAACCTCAACATTACAGCCTTCATAGCCATTTATCTGTCTTTAAGTTGTGGCCCAGCAGTCGTCTTGCCTTACCCTGTGTGTGGAATGGATGCCACTCAAATGATCAGTGACTCAATCCTGGAGTCAGATGAGGAAGACAACAAAGAGGAGAATGAAAACAAGAGGGGACGACCATTGGCTAAACTGTGCATCTTAAAAAATGAACATATCCCTGAGACAGGTGAGTGGCTTACTGCTGCTGTTATTACACCAACGCTTTGTTGATTTGTTGATCACAGTCTGTTTACATTTGCATAAACAGGTCTTGTCTATGTATTTCTTCTGATTGATGTTCTCTGTCACCCAGAGTTGCCCCTCTTTTTGGGAGATAATGTGGTGGGCCGTGACCCCAACACCTGCACCCTGCCCTTGCCAGCACCCTTGATATCCAAGCAGCATGCCACCATCTGCATCTCTGTCTACAGGAGAAGAGGTCGTCACAGTGAAGTGGACATAGAGGCTTTGATTTGGGACCTAGGGAGCATGAATGGGACCCGCAAGGGCCACTTAAAGCTGACTCCTAATGTACGCTATGCCCTCAGTGAACGTGACAGTTTGGTGGTGGCAGACATCCCATGTCAGTATGTCAGCTGCACTACAGATGCAGTCTCCTCTAAAGGGGATACGATGACTCCTGTTAGCATAAATTCAGAGGTAAACGACAGGTTGCCAGATGCCTCGGGAGACAAGGGAGGTCACTCAAGCATAGGCAGCAAGAAATGTGTCAACGGGGGTACAGAGGCTAGGACGTCATTACCTGATCAGGAGGAAACAAGGAAGACTCCTGTCAGAACCAGTTGCCTGTCCTTTGAGCAAACTCCAACCCAGCCACAGGGGACCCTGGTCCCAGAATCTGACTCGGACTCAGACGAGGAAAGAGGAGACATAAGGCGCAAGGCTCTAGGTATATAAATTATGTTGGTACTTATAGAAATGAAGACCTGTCTTTTTGTATCTGAGGTTTTACATCTTTATTCTTTTTTTACAGTGTCCGATTCTGACTCCCATAAATCAGGTCCCACCTGTTCAACATTCCTGAGTCCCACAAACAAAATTGTCCCTGAAAGGTATATTAGCAACATCTTATCTTGGGCTTTTTTAAATATGTACAGTACATTCATAACATATTAACATGTAACACAAACATTACAAATCCTTGTAATTATGTGCATCGAAACAGTTAATTATTTTCTCCTCTGAATTATAATGCTGGTCACATTGTTTTCCACTGTTTTCCAGTGAGGATGAAAGTCCCATCACACTGTCCTCCACTAAAAATAGGCCTTACAGACATGTCGGCTTCAGCAAGGAGGAGCCAGACGTAGAGGTGGGGCAGCAGCAGCTAAAGAACAAAAAGACACTTGCAATTGTGGACGACAGTGAAGACGAAGAAGAAAGAGCAGCGCCGGGAGGGAGAAAGTCTGAGGAAAGTGAACAACATGTGCCAGACAAACAGGAAAGCAATGTCAGTCTTACCGGAGAGGATGAATTCCTCGTGTCTCCACCAGCAGTCTTCACAGACGCGAGCCCTGTATTTTGCATGGACAGTGACACTGATGTGGAGGGAGAGGAGGAGAGGGTGGCGTCTGCAGGCCCACTGACCATGAATACAAACCAACAAGCTGATCAGCCACCAGACACAGCCCAGTTTCACATGGACAGTGATACTGATGTGGAGGATGATGCTGCGTCAGACACCGCTATTAAAGCAACGTCACTTCAAAGCACACACGCAGCTGACTCTTCCCCTTCTATGCAGCGCAGCAATTTGCACCTAGACAGTGACACAGATATTGATGAGGAAGAAGAAAAGCAATGTGGAACAAATAATTCATGCCCTAAAATAGATGAAACTCCCACTAGATTAGACATCAAGCCAACTGGGCCCGAATCCGCCCCCGCCGCGTCTCACAGCCTGCATCTAGACAGTGACACGGACGATGAAGCCATTCCTGCCCCTGCCATCAGTGAACTGTCGGTGGTGTCCGCTGTCACAGAGTCCGTCACCGTTGCAGATGCAGGAGCCGATTTGGCTGTTCTGTCTGACAGCGACACAGATGTGGAAGACGATTCTCCTCTGCTCATACCTGTTGTCTCAACCTTGTCTGTCGATCCTGGTACCACGTCGGAAGCTCTTCAGTCCGATTCTGATGCAGACACAGATGTCGATGAATCCAGCGTGCCCCCTGCTGGGGATGGGGTCAGTCCAGCCGACCTCAGAGTGGACAGTGACACAGATGTGGAAGATAAGGAGGGGGATTCTGGAGAGGCAGGGGAGAACCAGATTCCCAGCCTGCGCAGAGAAAACACACCTGGGTTGCTGGTTCCCCTTCAGCAGAACTGCTCTACTCCTGTACAGGTGTCAGGTAATCAGTCCATCAATCTTCAAATACGAACTTAATGGAGGGAATGTAGGCTGCAGCTATAGATGGTGTTCAGTATTGTTTCATTTGCAGATCACTTTCTCGATTCATTGTTTGGTTTATAAAAATGACAGAAAATAGTGAATAATTCCGACAATATTTACCCACAGCCAAAGGTGAATTATTCTGTCTGCTGGTTTTGTTCAACAGTCCAAACCCCAAAAGATATTCAGTTTACAAAGAAAAGCATCAAATCCTCACAGTGAAGAAGCTGGAAATGTTTTCCTTAACAAATGACTGAAACGATTAAGCGATTATCTAAATGGCTGCCTATTCATTTTCTCTTGATCGACTAATTGTTGCTGCTCTAGAACATATTAAATATTATAATATCGACAGTACAAATAAAAGAAAATATAAGTAAATAAAGATTTGAAATAAAGCCTTTCCGTACATTTTATTGACGGAACAAGCCTTTCATTTAGCAGGGGTTCTTTATATCACAACTTCCCATGATTGAAAATAATCAATACAACTTAAACACTGTCAATCAACCAAAATAATAATATAATGCAAGAAAAATACACGTTTTTGGCACTTCCAACAACATGTTGGAAAGGATAGATTCTCTAAATAATCAATAACAGGATTTTTAAGTGATCCATTTAAAGCGGACCTCCTTTTCTCAATTTGAAGACGCATCAAGCACTCCTTGATCCACTGTATACATTGTTTGGCATTTTAATATGAAATATAAGCCTGTTTAATTTGTTATTTTCACTCTTGGATGATACCAGAAGGAGAACTGGAAGATATGGAGACTCAGGCTTTCCTGATTCCCTCATCAGGTCCATTTAGATGTGAGTAAATTACTTTTGACTCATAACTTTGTGTCTGTTTATAAACCGATGGGTACATCAGAGCATTACTTTTAACCTTGCACACACTTCTTTATTTCATCTTCTTTGTCTCCCAGGTGCAAGACCTATAGCATTGTCTTCCTGCTCAGACAGCCTGGAGGACGACTTGTGTGCTGTGGCTGAGACCCAGTCCTTCATTCTCCAGACCAGAGACTGCCAGGGCAACCCTCTAGAGGACCACAACAAGGACCCCACCCAGTCTTCTCTTGATGAAAAGGGCAAACAGTCCATTAGAGGAGGGTCTCTCCAGCTGGGATCTTCTGACCGCAGCCACCTGGAGGGTCGGGCCCAAGCTCTAGCCACGGCGAACACCCAAGCTTTTGTCTCCGTGGTGGAGGGTGTGACTCTGGACGATACCCAAGCATATGCAGGCAGAACTTCCTTGGAGAGTGATTCAAAGCTGCAGGCCTATGGAGAGGTTGAGAACCCTGCCAGATGTTCAGTAATGTCTGCAAAAGAAGGGCGGGTAGATTTTGACCTGGAAGCAACACAGGCGTATATTTCAGAGCCCGACAGTGATTCAGAGGTTGAAACCGATGAAGATGAGAGAAAAAACACTGCTACTGCTGAGACTCAGCCTTTCCACATTCCCACATCATCTACTCTTGCCATGGCTGAAACCCAACCAATGTTTGCCCTTGAGGAGGAGGAGGAGGAGGACAGTTTGGATAAAGAAAATCTTATTTCCTCTGGACTACAAGTAAAGTCCAGCCCACAGCATGCAACAGAAGAGAGAGAAGAACATGTGGAGGCAGCTCAACCTCAGAAGAGGCTCCTCAGTGATGCTCTTTCTGTGGCTCAAACTCAGCCCATGCATGTAAGTGAGGATGAGGAAAGTGATGATGAGGACTTGATTCCACGAAAAAGGAAAGCAAAGCCACTGCAGCTTGAAGAGGAGCAGACACAAACGCTCACAAACTCTGAGTTATCACTTGTTGAAACCCAGCCAATGCACTTTGGTGTAGCTGAAACTCAGCCCATGGCTACAAGTGGAAATGAGGAAAGCGATGTTGAGGATTCAATTCCAGGTCCACGAAAAAGCAAAGCAAAGCAGCTGTGGCTCGAAGACGAGCAGACGCAAACACTCACAAACTCTGAGCTCTCCACCATTGAAGCTCAGCCAATGGCTACAGGTGAAGATGGAGAAAGTGATGAAGAGGAGTTGACTTCAGGTCCACGAAAAAGGAGAGCAAAGGCACTGCAACTTGAAGAAGAGGAGACACAGCCCCTCGCTAGTTCTGAAGTCTCTGCTGTTGAAACCCAGCCTGTGGTCGCGGGTGAAGACAGAGAAAGAGAGGATGAGGACTCAATTCCAGGTCCACGAAAAAGAAGAGCGAAGTCAAAGCCAATTCAAGAAGAGGACACACAACCGCTCACAAATTCTCAGGCCTCCACTGTAGAAACTAAAACTGTCCGACAGCCTCGGAGGGGGAAAGGAAAACAAGCTGAAGCTGGAACCAGTGGCACGACTATTGGAGGTAGAAGAGGGACACAGGCAAGATTAAGAGAAGAGGAGGAGCAGGCGGAGTGTTCTGAACCTCCCAACAGACAGACGAGAGGGAAGATGAAGGCTTTGCCAACTCCTAGAGGAAGAAGAGGAAAATCAAGGCCTGAGGAGAAGGTAGAGCAGGCTAAACAAGCTAGAGGGAAAAAATATATGATGCATCAGAAAGATAACGAGGAAGAGGAGGAAACGCTTGAAACAGAAAGGAACAGTGCTGAAAATAACCGAATAAAGGAACAAGAAGCAGCGAGGGAAGAACAAGACAAATTAGAAAGGGAAAGAAAATATAAAGAAGAGCAAGAAAGAGTGCAGGCTGAAAATGCAGAAAGCTTAAGACTTGAGCAAGAGAGAGCAGAAAAAGAGCGAATAGAGAGGGAAAGAAAGGAGGAAGATGAAAAGAAAAGAGCTGATAAGGCACAAAAGAAAAAAGAAAAACAATTAGAGAGGGAAAGAAAGGAGCAGGAAAAAAAAGAGAGATTAGAGCGTGAAAAGGCAGAAAGAGAAGAGAAGGAGAGAAGAGAAAAGGAAAGGGAGGAGGAAAAGGAGAGATTGAAGACAGCAAAGAGGGAACGAGAAGAAAAACTTGAGAGGGAGAGGAAGGAACAAGAAGAAAAACAAGATCAAGAGGCCAAAGAAAGACAAACAAAAGAGCAACAAGAAAACAACCCCAAAACACCCGCAAGAGGTCGCAGAGCAGCCAGGAAAACAGAGCCGCCACAAGACTCCACCATATCAGCCAACGATGATGTCCCAGCAAGGAGAACCCGATCTCGCTCCAACTCTTCCAACTCTGTCAGCTCAGAGAAGTCTGCTTCAAGTGTGAACACCCCGGGGAGCAGGGGCAGGGGCAGGGGCCGAGGCAGGGGAGCGAAGAGGACCAGTGGGCCACCGCAGGCAGCCATCGCCAGAAGCAGCAACAGAAGGAGGACTGTAGCTGCAGAGCCAACACAACAGGACAATTCTCCTCAGGGAGTGCTTTCGAGGTCCAACTCCACCAATTCCTCCAACTCTGAGATTTCCAGCTGCTCTCAGAGCAGAGGAAGAGGAGGCAGGCAGCGAGGAAGAGGGAGGAAAACAGAGTCACACTCCATCCCTCCTGTCAATAGTCAGAGTGGCCAGAATTTCACTCCCAAACCTACAACCAGAGGCAGGAAAAGCAGGACAGAAGAGGAATCCTCTAATGAGGTTCCCCATGAGGATGAACCAGAGAAGGCAGATTGTCAGCAGGCTAGTACCACTAGAGGGCGACAGCGAGCTAATGCAAATGGCTCTAAACCTGCTGCTGGAGATGAGAAATCCTCTTCAAGTCAGGACTGTGCCAGTGAAGAATCACCTCTGCTTAAAAGGAATGTGAGGGGCAGAGGCCAAAAAACGGTAAAGATTGAGACTGTGGAGACACCAGTAGCTCCTGCAGTCAGTGATGAAGAGGAGGCTGAAGAGAAAAGTAAAGGAATAAAAAGAGAGTTGGAGGCAAATACGGAAGAGGATTCCAGCAGTAGCTCCAAAATATCCAAAGCGAAGGGGAAAGCCCAAACAGCAGAGGCAGCGAAAGGTGAAACAAAAGATGAGAGTCAAGTCCAGGTTAAGAGAAAAGGTCGGGCATCCGGCGCTCAAGCTAAGAAGAGCGCAAAGGATTCCCCTGCTGAATCGGAGGTGAAAGAAGAGAGTGAGAAAATGGAGGAGGGGATAGTTGAGAGGAGAGGCAGAGGCCGGACATCAGTGGTCCAGAAACTGAAGAAAGAGAAGCAGGAAGAAAGTGAAACATCTGTTGACCAGGATCCACACGTGGAGGCATCAGAGGTGACTCGATTACTTACATTTTAAACATGCACTGGACATTTTAAGGTGTCAGAAGTTGTCGTTTTGAGTGAGACAAAAATACGTTACGGCTGAAGCATAAATCAGACCAAATGGAAAGCTGAGTAGTATATAATTAGTGTCCAGGAACTTCTGTCCTTGAAAAGGAAGGCTTTTACCTTGGCTGAGGGCCCTGGTGCATTTTTCACCGTGAGTCAGCCTTTCCAACCATCATAATGTACTGCAATCAACATCAGGGACTCTCTCAGCAACAAGAGTAGTTTGACCTACTCTGCATCTCCATTAACACACTAATGAATTAAGTGGTTTAGTGGACTCACAGTCACTTTCTACTCCTGCGTTTTCATGATCTTTGCTTTCTTTTACATCACACGTGCTCATCATCCTCCCTGCATGTTGCACGCTTGTCCTTGCCTGTTGTTTAACCTTGTCTCCCCTCCCCCACCCCTCTTCCTTTTAGCAGCCCCAGACTCCGACTGGCGGTGTATCCCGGAAGCGACGGGCTGTTGCGGACTCCTCGCCTGTGGCAAAGACCCCGCGCTCCTCCTCTGCTTCCCCGGCAGCCGGGGGTCAGTCACGAGCTGCCGGACAGGCCTACAAGGTTTTATATGTCTTTGTACACATGTGGTCATATTTGTCAGATTGTCAAAATGATGCAGAAGAGGGAAATTTGACTGTAATGGCACATTATGCTATGCTGATATTGTTTTATGAAGCTGTTAATATAACATGGTGTTATATATGTTTTTTGACATTTTCTTGATATTCTTTAATGTTTTTTGTGAAAAGCAGTTTCCCCTAGGGGGCAATAAAGGCTTCATACATTCACTTCCCAGGATGACAGATTAGCAGAAATCTATTCAGTAAGATTCATGCGAGCTAACGTGGCTTTAGACCTCCGAACAACACAGTGTGTCTGTCCCTCTCTCAGGTGCTGTTCACAGGTGTGGTGGACGAAGAAGGGGAGAGAGTGTTGGCTCGTTTGGGAGGCAGCATGGCTAAAGGAGTGACGGACATGAACTGCCTGGTGACTGATAAGGTGCGCAGGACCGTCAAGTTCCTGTGTGCGTTGGCTAAAGGAGTCCCCATTGTCACCACACAATGGCTGGAAAAGGTTCGTTTCTATATCTCTCTCTCTCTCTCTCTCTCTCTCTCTCTCTCTCTCTCTCTCTCT